ACCAAGAGAGATACCCAGTATGGCATTTGAGATCTTCTGGGCTTCTCCACGGGTGCTACCCAATATGCTCGTCTTAGATTTGTGATATCGCTTTTGCTCTCAACCGTGTCAGGTAATTAGGATATCTCGTTACTGTTTATGGTCTGCTTATTATTTTATCCTTCTATTATTAACTGCCAAATAATTTGATTTGGTTTATCATCTATTCTATATAGCGGGATCTGATGTGTTGTGGTACTGCATGATCCTTCGTTCGGAGAAGTAGTTATTGGGATTGACCGGCGGACTTGGTTTTGATCGTCAGCACGTTAAGTTGAACCATCCTTAGAAGGTGCAGCTGATTGCTTTTTTGGTCTGAGTCGCCACCTTCAGACTTAGGCTTCAGACTTGGCGTGTTGGTGGTGGCTCTTCTCCACCTCCCTTTTCAGTTTTCTACGGGCTCCTGGAGCTGAGCCGCGTGCCTGCGCTGACATGCGGCGCGCGCTTGCGAATAACGCTCCTCGAGCGTCGAACGGTTCCGTTTGACGGGCGACTCATTCTTTCTTTGGGCGGCTTGGAAGAGTGGCGCATTCATTGGTGTTGAGGCTGTTTGGCCTCCTTCTGTTCTTCAACATCCGCGTGCGTAGGCGGAAATCATTCGTAGACTCATCGCCTAGGCGATTGCCCAGCGCAAGCGTTGACCGACAGCCTCTTGCGGGCTCTTCTTTGAGAGAGTCACCAACGCCCTTTGACAGTAGAGGCGTTGCGGAGTTGGTTTTTGACCTGATTGAGGTCGGTGGAACTTCATTTGACGGCAACTTCGGCTTTTCAGTTGGGTTGAGAGCTTCGTGGGCTTCCCGAGCAGCTCAAACCAACGAGCTTTTTCCTCCCCGGAGGTAGAACTTCTTGGAATTGCGGGGGAGATAGAGCCGACGAGGACACGTACTCCTCGAACTTGGCTTGTGCGAACTCGTACTCGAACCTCCTCCCTACGACCGGATTGGCAATCGCGCGGCTGCGACGAGCATCGATCTTGTGGCGAGATCGGTCGCTCCCACTGTGGTCGCACAGAGTTGTTCCGGCGGGAAAAACGGCGTTAGCTTTCTTCATTAATTCGAAATAATTGTCATCTATTGAGTTACAGACTTTTTGAGTTACAAAAGAATCCGGTCTTTTATAGATGCCGGTTAGCAACTAAATCAAAGAAAATAAAGAAAAATTACAACTCTCCTCTGTGAACAAACTGCACGAGCTCCTGTTTTGCGGTCCGCTCGCTTATGGTGGGTTCTTTTGCCCTGCGCCGGGGTTAAATCCCGTGGACCACCGCGCAGTGCTAGATCCGGTCGATTATACACGAGTATGCGGGATTATTCCAAAAAGGGAATAATAGCCGGGGGGATTAATGCCACCAAGGAATAATCGCTCGATCTGCGAGATCCTAAAGACCAAGCTTAGTCTGGATGTAGCCTCCGTGTAGATCTCAGATCTGTTCTTTCTTCCTCGCGAGATGCACTGCCTTTCTGACGTGGAATATGGTCGCCGAGGATGCAGATCTGAATGGCGGCAAGTCTTCTGGTCTTCGAAGCTCCGGTTCACTGCTTCAAATCCGGCAGAGTTTTCGGCTCTTGAAAGTTCGACTCTCGAAAATGAACATCTCTAGTGCGCTATTTTATAGCTCTCAGGACAGGTGGCTGCAAAAGGGATTGTCGGGCCAGCCTCTGGCCACTGTCGGCGCACGCATCGGGCCCAGTCTGTCTGGCCACCCTTCGGGGTGGCCAGTCAGTTTTTTTTTTTCTGTGGCCTAGTCCACGCTGGGTGGCGTCGCGCTCATGGCCGAGGCGCACCCGAGGTGGCTCGGCACTCGAGGCCACCTGCAGGGTGGCTCGGCTTGGCCGAAGCCCACCTTGAGGTGGCTCGGCTAAAGGCGAGCGCACCTTGGGGTGGGCTCGGCTTTGGCGCGAGCCTGTAGTCCGCAGGGCGGTGTTTTCCGACTTTTTCGAGTCGTTTTCTGTTGTCTCGTTTGCTCCGTGTTTCGGTTGACGGCTTGAGAACTCTGATTTGATGGTTTGATTTGGCCAGTAATTTGGATTCCTGATTTGGCAGTAATTTGGCATTCCCTGATTTGGCCAGTAAAATCCCTTCTGGTTCGATGTCCAGAAAATTGATCTTGATTCGATACGTGATTCGTCCGAGTTCCGGCTCTCGGTTGGATGACTCGTTTGTTTCCTCAACTCATTAGCTTGATTCTGCAATCACCGCGCGGTGGCATTCATTCCGTCCGGCTTCCGTGGCGATGCGATTCGTCGATCTCGTCGCCTCATTGGCTCGTCGGTTTGTGCCGAGCTATGCTAGGGGACCTATAAGCAATTTTATATGCCTACAGTCCACGGATTAACCCCAGCGTCGGCAAAGAACCCACACAAGCAAGAGACCGCAAAACAGGATCTTGCGATTTGTTCTAAAGGAAAGTTGTAATCTTTTCTTTTTCTTTAATTTCGTTGTAATCGGATCTAAAAAAAGACCGGATCTTTTGTAACCGAAAAACAGTTATTCAAGATAACAATGAATTCAATGAAGGCAATTTTCACCGCGAACATGGAGATGTACTTCACTCTCGATGGATATTCATCCAAGGAGAAGATCGTGTTTGCAATGTTGAAGCTTTCAGGACACGCGTTGACGTGGTGGAAGTCCTATTGCAAACAGGAAAAGAAGGCGGTGTCGTGGAACAAATTCAAGGAACTACTAAGGAAGCAGTTCTATCATGTGGGGTTCCTCGAAGAGCGTTGGTACAAGTGGTACGGCTTGCGCCAAAGATTAAATCAGACCATTCAAGAGTATATGATGGAGTTCCAGCAGCAGGCGATGGTTCTTAACATCGCAACGGATGAATACTCCATTTTTATGAAATACATGACGGATCTGAATGAGTATATCCAGAAGGAGATGAAGCTGTTTAAGGTCGAGACAATTACAGAGGCGAGCGTGAAGGCAATTGCCATTGAGGGCAAACAGAAGAAGGGCAATGAAATGAAGGGTGATTCCAAACAGTCGGGAGGCAAGTCTAGTGGCTCTCAACATAAGGAAGAGAAAAAGAAGGGTGATTCGAGAAAGGCAGGATTGACATGCAATCATTACAAACAGACATGGCACGTGGCTGATCGTTGCTGGGAGAAGTACCCTCATTTGAAGCCGAAAGGGTTGAAGAAGAAGGAGGAGAAGAAAGCATACGTAATAGCGCAGGGTCCGATGGAGGTTCCCGGGATGATAGAGCCCATCAGTATCCTCAACCTTATGGTAGGAAAAAAGACCGCGAAAGAAGACGACGACCCGATGGAGCAACTCTTTTTTTTGAAGTTGCAGGTCAAGACCAGCTTGGTGTATACCACTATAGATAAAGGGAGTCAGAAGAACCTGATATCTGAAGCATTAGTACAGAAGTTGGGATTGAAGACGGTGAAGCATCCGAAGCCCTATCCATTAGGATGGATTCAGAAGAAAGCGGGATTGAGTGTGGTGAACCAGTGTACGTTCAGATTTGCACTCCATGAGTCGTATATAGACGAGGTCATATGCGACGTGGTTCCGTTAGATGTTTGCCAAAGTTATTTTGGGCAATCCTTACTTGTGGGATAGATACACGGTATATGATCGGCGGGCCCAAAAGTATACGTTCACCAAAGATGGTGCGTAATTCATTTTTTGTTCGGCATCTCTTCTACAGGAGATGAGTTTGGTGATGGTGACTCAGGCTAAGAGGTTGGTGAATGCAGGAAGGAAGTTCGTTTTGTTGTTCATTTGGCCTTACAAAGAGCAGCTGAGTAGGATATGCTTGTCCACCTTGAGCAAGCTTCAGGAGGGAGATCTTGATAGTTTGAAGGCCAAGTATGCAGACCTATTTTTAGAAATCACGGGACTACCACCACGGCGAGGTATAGAGCATGAGATTATGTTGACTGGCGAGAGTTCCTTGCCAAACATAGGCCTATACCGCACATTAGTACAGGAGTCCGAAGAGATCAAGAAATAGGTTCAGGAGCTCTTAGAGACAGGAATGATAGTGACGAGTTGTTCACCTTGTGGGTCGCCGATATTATTAGTGTCCAAAAAGGATGGAGGCTGGTGCATGTGCGTGGATTACAGGATGCTCACCAAGATACAATCAAGAATCGTTACCCACTACCACGGATCGATGATCTTATGGGCCAGTTGGAGGGAGCGAGGTTCTTCATGAAGTTGGATCTAATGTCTGGCTATCATTAGGTAAGGATTCGGGGGGAAGACACTTGGAAGACGGCGTTCAAGACCAAACAAGGCATATTCGAGTGGTTGGTGATGTCGTTTGGGTTATGCAATCCTCCGGTGACTTTTATGAGGCTCATGAATGATTTGTTGTGACCTTTCATAGAGGATTTTATGATTGTGTACCTTGATGATATTTTGGTGTACAACAGGACCTGGGAAGAGCATCTTGTTCATGTGGAGAAGTTGTTTAGAGTGATGCAGGACGGACAACTGAAGCTCAACGGGAAGAAGTGTGAGTTTGGGAAGGACGAGTTGGTATATCTCGGGTTCATCATGGGGAACGGCCAGCAGAAGCTAGATCCGGGTAAGGTGGCGGTGATCACAAAGTGGCCGATGCTAAAGACAGTGATTGAGGTGAGAAGCTTCATGGGAGCTTGTCCGTATTTACGCAAGTTCATTCAACACTTTTCGACTTATGCGACACTGTTACATGGCCTCACAAGGCTAAGGTTCAGTTCGAATGGGGGAGGATGCATGAGGAGGCTTTTTAGTTGCGGTGACGAGTCCGAGGGAGCCGCGGCATCTCCCGCTTCACAGCCTATTCCCCCGTTTAGGGCGGAGCCTTGCCTTGATGTTCCCCCCATTGCAACACTTGCTCAGGGTCAAGAGCCCATTCCCTCAGGCTCTCTGTCTCTTCAGGCTCGTATCGAAGAGTTCAAAAATGCCGTGAAGCAGATGATTTCCCTCGTCAGCCTTGGTGTTGGGATCTATGCCGACTTCAAACAGTTCCTCCTGGATCGCATGGTCGATCTCAGGCGGTTGGGTGAACCTCATCTCGCCGTCTGTTGCAGGCAACGGCTTCTTTATTTGGAGTCACGTTTGATACACCTGGAGACTCTGCTGCAAGGAGGTCCCGCAGCTGACATGGATCACTTCTTACCTCAAGTTCGGTGTAGGGAGGCATGGGAATAGGAGGTTCGCTTGACAATGAGCTGAGAATTATCGTAGGCCTTGAGATGTTTTATCTCTAACTCTCTTGCCAGCTCGAGTCTAATGAGTAGCACATTGTACTCAGCCACGTTGTTGGTGCATGGCTCCGTTAGAGAGAAGGCTCGGGGTAGTATATAGTTATGTGGGGGCAGTGAGGACCACCCCCACTCCTACAATGATAGATCCGCTCGTGCCGACATGATACGCACCATCAAAGAACATCTGCCAGGCTTCCACTTGGGAAGTCGTGTTGACTTTGGGGGGTTCAACTGACAAATCTTTGAATATGTCAATTTTCACCCTTAGCAGATGACTAGCCATAAGATCACAGATAGCATGTCCTTTGACTGACTTCTATGGCACGAAGTGAATATCGTACTAAGATAGTAGGAGTGCCCATCTGGCCAAACGTCAGTTTAAAACTGCAGGCTACGTCATGAAGACTCGGATGTGGTTCATTCGGGAAATGACATGGATGGTTTGGCCAACTAGGTAGTGTCACATCTTTTGGATGGTAAATACCATGGCTAAACACTCCTTTTCGACCATAGGGTATTGCCGTTCAGCACCCTGTAGAGTTCTACTTAGGTAGTAGATGCCTGCTCATGGTCGGTGTCATCATTTTGTGCCAAGAGAGCGCCCAGAGAATGCTCCATAGGCCGTATGTAGATGAGGAATGACTTTCCTAAGATTAGATCCGTAAGGACAGGCGGGTTTGAGAGGTAAGCTTTGATCTCCTCAAAGGCCCGTTGGCAAGGCTCATCCCACATGAAGGAAGTACCTTTCATCATCAGTTTGGAGAAGGTTGACACTTACCCAAAAGATTCGAGATTCCCACATGAAGGAAGTACCTTTCATCATCAGTTTGGAGAAGGTTGACACTTACCCAAAAGATTCGAGATGAACCTCCGGATGTAAGGCAATCGTCCATGAAGAACCCTTAGTTCCTTAAGGTTTCGGGGCGGCTAGAGCTCTTGAATAGCTCAAGGCAATCGTCCATGAAGAACCCTTAGTTCCTTAAGGTTTCGGGGCGGCTAGAGCTCTTGAATAGCTCATACCTTATCTGGGTCAATTCGGATTCCTTTCGTTGTAACCATGAAACCAAGGAATTTACCACTGGACATCTCTAAGAATGACTTCGTGGGATTCATCTTGAGTTGATAAGTTCTCATGAGTTTGAACATCACCCTCAAGTCTTGGAGATGGTCATCTTCACTGTGACTTTTCATGACCAAGCCGTCCACATAGCATTCAACTGTCTTTCACAGTTGATCTCAAAAGATCATGCTCATGGCGTGTTGGTAGGTTGCACCAGCGTTTTTGAGTCCGAAAGGCATGACCATGTAGCAGTATACCCCTATTGGAGTCCTGAATAAAGTATGTTTTTTGTCCTCGGGGTGCATTTTGATTTGATTGTACCCCAAGAATCCATCTATGAAGGACATCCTCTCAAACCTGCACGTGTTATTAATGATGACATCCGTGATGGGCAAAGAAAACTCGTCTTTAGGGTAAGCAACATTAAGATCCCTGAAGTCAATGCAGATGTGAATCTTATCATTCTTCTTTAGGACTGGAATAATATTAGCTACCTAGTCGGGGTGTTTTTCCTCTCTGATGAAGCCGGATTTGATCAACTTGTTCACTTCGGCCTCGATTGCCTCCATGATTTATGGACGAAACCACCTCTACTGTTGTTTGACTGGTTTAGCGTCTGAGCCGATGTTGAGGCGATGCATGACGACCTGTAGATTAAGGTCGGACATGTGCTCGTAATTCCATGCAAAGACATCAATGTATTCCCATATGAGGGCAATAAGATCTTCTTTCTCTTTGGGAGGTAGATTACTATTGATGAATATAAGTGTAGGCATATAAAATTGCTTATAGATCCCTTAGCTCAGCTCGGCACAAACCGACGAACCAACGAGGCGACGAGATCGGCAAATAGCACGCGAACAACGGAATGAATCCACCCGCGTGCAGAATCAAGCTAACGAGTTGAGGAATCAACGAGTCATCCAACCGAGAGCGGACTCGGACGAATCGCGATCGAATCAAGATCAGTTTCGAACTCAAACTCAAAAGCCGATTTACTGCCTAATCGGGATCCAGACTTCCAAATCAAGATCCCGAATAAATCAAAGTTCACAACAGAACCACAACCGAATCACGGACAGAACCGGAAACAACGAAAAACAACGGAACAAACACCGCCCGCGGGGGCTCGGCCAAAGCCGAGCCACCTCAAGGTGGCTCGGCCTTAGCCGAGCCACCTCAAGGTGGCTCGGCCTTAGCCGAGCCACCATGAGGTGGCTCGGTGGCCGAGCCACCTTGAGGTGGCTTGGCCATGAGCCGAGCCACCTCAAGGTGGCTAGGCACAGTGCCGGCCACCCCGAGGTGGCCGACAGTGGCCCGAGGTGGCCGACAGTGGCCCGAGGTGGCCGACAGTGGCCCGAGGTGGCCGACAGTGGCCCGAGGTGGCCGACAGTGGCCCGAGGTGGCCGACAGAGGTCACACTCCAGATCTAAGCTTGGTCTTAGATCTCGAGATCCGAGCGATTATTCCCTTGGTGGACTATTCCCTCCCGGCTATTATTCCCTTCGTGGAATAATACCCGCATAATCGTGTAAATCCGACCGGATCCAGATCGCGCGGTGGTCCACGGATTAACCCCGGCGCAGGCAAAGAACCCACCAAAGCGAGCGACCGCAAAACAGGAGCTCGTGATTTGTTCACAGAAGGAAAGTTGTAATTTTTTCTTTATTTTCTTTGATTTAGTTGTAACCGGATCTATAAAAGACCGGATCTTTTGTAACTCAAAAAGTTGTAACTCAAGATGACAATTATCTCATTAATGAAGAAAGCAACAGTTTTCCACGCGAACAGAAGGCTTTGACGGACTCCCTCTTCTTCTGCTTGGTGACGAGAAGGGTATGAATGGAGACTTCTGTATCCTCTTCAAAGAATCTTGATAAGAATAGTCTCTCTAGATCTGCCCATTTTTGGATACATCCCGCAGGTAGTTTCCTGAACCATTCAAAGGCAACTCCCTTGAGGGTGCTAATGAACAATCGAGCCAGTATGGCGTCGTTTGATATCACATTCTTGATCCCGTGCCGTCAAAAGTTTGTAGCGTCGGGACCTCGAACTTTGGAGGATAAGGGGCTTCATCCCATTCGGCAGGATAGGTCCTGATAACTCCATCATCTTGGAGCTCGCTTCTGTTAGCAATGGCTGTGAGACGGGCTTCCAATTCTTTCATTTTGGCAGACTGAAGATTCTGCTCATTCTCAGTCTCTCTTCCTTCATCAGAGGAAGATTCCAGGCTGTGGGCTTCTTGGTCAGAAGCCGCATCATCAACCACTTTTCCCTTCCCTTTGCTTGTGTGAGGTCGGGATGAAGATGCTTTTCCTCTCCGGGAAGATTCTTGCCTAAGCGGCGAATCTGTCTCCTGAGATTTATGGATTTCTGTCATATAGGCGGAGTTCTCATGTTCAACAAAAGAGCTTGATGATTGGGACTCTGCAATGGCTGAGTGTTCATCATCGGAATTAGTTCCTCTGGCTAACCTTCGATAGTTGACAGGGAGAATGGCTCCTGTTCGAGTCCGAGTATGTTGATAAACTCCATCGGACCTCGCCGCGCATTATCGGCGCAAGTACGGGCCAAAGCTGAAGAAGCCCGTCGGAAGCTACAGAAGGAGGTGGTCAAGAAACCGCCATCAACTCGTATGGTTTGGAGGCCGAAGTCTGAAGCGGCGGTTCAGACCAAAAAGCAGCAACTGCAGCCTCCAACCAAAATTCAACCTCCGGCGAACCAAGCTAAGTCGCCGAGAATTCCTATAGCTACTCCGGGAGATCATGCAGAATCCTCCCGAAGGAGAAAGCCAGTCTTGGAGCGCCTCGGTCCAATTCTCGACGAGAGAGGCAAAGCTCCAGTTCACGAGCGTTTGGGCCCGATGAGGAAGCCCAGAACGACTCAACACACTGGGGGTCGTCGTCACTTCCAGTATGACAAAGAGCTCAAGGCAGCTGCGCGCACTAACTTGCGCATCGAAGTCCAAGAGCACGCTGAAGACTCGCGCCCACAAAGGCATGTTTCTAGGCGTGTAACCTTTGAAAGCCCAAAGAAGGCGATTCAACCTCAGATGGAAACATTGT